GAGGTTTTTTCCAGGTGAAGAGTGATTCAATAAGTAGAAATCACGCTTGCGACGCGTCTTGAGTGCATGCTGCGCCTCCAGCTATATTCCCCGAAGTACCGAAGACCTCCGAAATTAAGCAACGGGATCGGATAGCACGGTACGAGCTTCCGCAGAAAAGTGCCGCGACTCGCCAATCCCAGCTAAACATCGATTGTGAGATGCTTGACACCCGGCTGACTCTTACCTACCTCTAGTTGATTTTAATTTCAATCGACCACCATTCAGACACCATCTAAATCATGGGGAATCGCGGAAGCAGAGATTAATCAGATTACTAGTGATTTGTTGGTGTTCTGTATGCAACACGACTCAGACGACCGGGGCAAAACACGAAAATTCGAACAGGTCACTATGCACATGTCAGTTCATTAATGCACAGTGAGTTTATCTATGTCAGGTCGGCACTACTGGGGTGCTCCGAACCAGTTTGCGTCCGCACCATTCCAGCCACTGAACCCATCCGTCAGTTAATGGATGAATACAATAACACCGCACTCGCCTGATGTCAGTAGGAACAGACATCCACATTGACATGATCTCATCTGCAAAAACACTCCTCGTGGTATCTGGCGCGCCCGTGGCCGCAAGCAACTGTTCGATCGACATTCCTGGTTTGAGGTGGGGAGATTGACCAGAAGTGTCTACCGTTGTGACGGCCGATTCGAACGACGGCCCAAATTGCGGGAAATTTTCATTCGGATTCGACTCGAGGGAAGAGGACTCGGCTTCGTCACCATTCGCGTTCGGAGGATTTTCTTTGGGAAAATGGCCTTCGAGGGCCCATACCTCCCGAAGGAGATCCGTGAGGCGGCCCACCGGTGGCAGTCTATGAGCTCAGCACCAAGCGGCATGCGGAGAAAAAGTGAGTACCTAGATTCAGCAACCTTGAGAATCTCCATAGCCATCGCGACCAGAGCTATATCTTTGTTCTTGTCCGCCGACAGACCAGCTTGTTTGGTCGCCAGCATATTCAAAGCAAGAATCAGTGTAGAGACAAACACGGGGTTCTATTTGACGCAGATATCATAGGCGCGTAGATATTGATCACGAAAGGAAATCACATACGATGACATTGTGTGAAGGTATTCGTTGCAATTTGCGGAGCCAAATGTTGGCCGTGCGAAGGATGGTGCGTGCGGCATTCGCGCAGATGGAGAGAGAGGCGGCAGCCAGTGACGTCACCTTGTGAATATATGGGCGATGAATCTGGGCCACACCTTAGCTAGTTTACGAACGACCGAGGGAGGTTCGAACCACTATCAGAATGTAGTTGTAGGTCAAATGCAGAACCGCAGATTGGTCGAAGAAAACGCCCTGCGGTGGGCTCTCGGGGTTCCACCGAACTGAGGGACGATAGCACCACATGGACGGGCTAAAATAATGGGGACGTACGATGAGGCGGGATAGAATCTAGAAAGTCGTTCATAGCCGAGTCGAATTCAGCAACAGTGTGCTGTTCCTTATCCGAGCTATCCCAACCCATCAACATCTTGAACTTTTTCGAACCATACAATCGCCGCATCGCGTCGCCCCAAATCTGTCTCGCAGACTCAGAAAGCAAACTTGGCGATGGAATCAGTAGGATCACCTCACACAGCCGTATATCGCAGAGGAAATACGACAGTTGAGATGGTTTTTCCGGCGGCTGCTGGAATCCTTGATCCCAATATTCGTCGTCAACATCAAGAGGAGGATCAATGTCGTACCTAACGGTATTCAGAAAGGAGACCAAGGTTGGAAGATGAACACATACTCCTCGATGTGCAGACTGATTGGGCGCCCCACGAAAGAGCACACTGTTCGGTCCAAAGCGACAAACGACCTGGGAAGTAACGATGTTAGAGAATGAGGAGGCAACCGCAAGGGTTCGGCCATACCAGAATGCTCGTTTCCACAACTCATCTTCAGGGCTCCACTTAGGGCCCTCGGGCTTTCGTCGATGCACGCCACGGTGGTGAAGAGCACGAATACCAATTCCCTGAGGGATATCAAAAACCAAGAACGAGGTTGGTCGGTTGTGCGACATACGAGATACAGCCATGAGTTTTCAGGTACAGATGTTCCACAGGAGTAAATTATTAAGAGCTAGACATGAACGCATTGAGAGCACTGTCAGAAATTGAGGGTGTGAACGTACACAATACATCTGAACATCGTATATCGTGGGGTCAAACAGTCTTCGGACGATCCAGATTTGACTAGCAAACTTCCAACCTGCCGAAAGGGATGCGTCACTATCGACATCATCGACGAGCACGCGAGAATCTTTGGAATACTGTCGAAATATCAGTTGTCAGTGGGAAAGATGAAACGGAAGTGACTTGCCCGCGAAGCAACGGCCAGAAGGGCCAGTAATGTCCCTCCGAACGGTGTGTGCGTCAGGTGTAGGCCTTCTGCTACGGCTCGCTCAAATGAAGGGCGATGCAGGATGGGATGAGTTGGGTGTACGAATGTGAAGTACAAATGCAGGAGAGACTCTATCAAGTCCCTGGGAGGATAGACATACTGGGGCTGAGCGGCATATACTTCTTTCTCCCACTAGAAAAATAATGAGAGAATTCCCCAAGTCAAGCCGCAACCAGCTCACTGGTAACACGTCCCAAAATATAGGCCGTCGTGACAACATGAATGGTCGTCCGTCGTGTGTTTCTTTCATCTGCGAATGTAAGGGTTACGAAAAAGTATGAGACGATGAGCTGACCGCGATGGCATGGTCAGCCAGGGCAAAGCTGGACGCCGAACCAAAATAATTTGGTTTCCACTCGGAATCAGTCAAATCAAACTGACTGAACCGCGAGGCGAGCTCGTCAAGGGGACGGTCTGAATCACTCTCCACAGCGTTATGGTCTTGATTATCCCGAAACACGGAAGCACTCCTGGAAGGTTCACGCAACGGCTGGGCACACAAGGAACACACGGAGAGCGACCGTAGTCGAGCGTTTAATGAAGCATTTTCTCTCTTGAGCGCCACATTTTCGTTCTTGAGGTCATCCACGAGGCTTAGCACAAAGATTAGGTCCCCGGGCAGAACTTTCACACAAGACCCTTACTTGGGCTTTCTACCTCGTTTCTTGGCTGGCTCGCTATAAGTGCACGATGAACCAAACGCTAAGCAGCTTGAACAGTGACCATTGGGCATATTCTGGCCATCGCCTTGAAAAGTCACTATTAGGGACTCCACGACACTGAAGAACGCGTTTATTACATCGAACTAAACAAAATCAGTCCAGGCTCTGTGGGGACAAAAATTTACGAACTCTTCCGCTGGCGACAAATGTCACAAGATCGCAGAGGTCTTCGCTGCCGTATTGGAAGAGATCCAATCGGGCTGTGGGTCCGGGAATCCTGCTGCTCATCATCGGACATAGCACCTTGGTTGAGAAGTCAGATGCTGGAGGCTCGTGTGGACGGGTGTCTTGTCGGTCTTGAGTCTGACTCAGAGAGGGCTTTCGAGGCACTCGGGGAAAAACTCCAATCGGAGAAGGCAAAAACAAACAAAAAAGGATGGAGGTGTTAAGAGCAAAACAGCAAGGGGCTGTGTAGATTACCATGGAAAGCGGGTAATCTAATCTACACAGCCATTCTCCTTCACATCACGACAACTTTCTTTTTCGTGATTCAAGAATCAAAGCCTTCACTCCTCTTAAGCTCTGTCGCCCCAAAGCTCGTATTCTTTTCCGCTGCCTCTCAACTTCAAGGACCCTTTCTTGATACTTTCCCCCTCTAGCATCGCCCTACCGCCAAGCTTGAGCCTTGAACACAAACTCTGAACTTGGTCTGAAATTGCTGACGCCTTTACGAGGTCTACCAAGGCACAGAGATTTCTCAGACTCGACTGCTCCAGGGTTCAACGTTCAACGTTGTAATCCGCAGACCGCCGTGGACGTGTCCGACGCTTGATAAGCATTTACCACGTGCACGACTACGATTCGGCATGAGCAACCTAAGGTTTCCTGGGCTGACGGGCTACAGCTCATTGGTCCTAATACGGCGGTTCGGGAAGGATAGGCTGTCGGAGGTCCTTGGCTCCAAAAAATATCCGAATAACCATTGATGACGGTCGGAATTCCTCAAGGCTCAAGTCTCCGAGCAACCTAATCATGGGTCACGGTCGAATAGTCTAATCTCCCAATTCGGACCGCTTTTCGAATCGGTCGTCATAGGGCAAGACACAGCTGATCAATCTTCCGACCTTGGACCAGCCTGAGGAATGTCAATCGAACAGTTGCTTTCAGCCAAACACCACCAAAAGCATTTCGAAGATGAGGTCATGTTACGGACATCGGGTGAGTGCATGTATTCATCTGTTAACCAAGCAGCTGGAATGGTGCAGATGCAAGCTGGTTCAGCAGCATCGGAGCACCGCAATAGTTATCGTTTGGTTATCGTACTGTGCATTGACTGACATGATGTGCATACTTAGTTTCGGTGGTATGTCTGATTAATCTCTCCAGAATACTTGGGGGCTTTCTTCTGTGTGTCTTTCGGTTTATGTCGTGCTAGTCAGAGTGCTGGTTGGTTAGCTATATAACCACACGCGAACAGCTTTGTTACGTCGAGGCAACAATTAGTCTCCACCTCTACTTGTTTTTGTGTCAATTCGAGTTCACATCCTGACGATTTCGACTTGGCGCATTGATACCGATCGTGCTGCGTGGACAACAATTTTGAATCTGGTGCCAATAGTTTGTGGTAATTGGCCAAGGTTGTTTGTAAGTAAGTAGAATTTATACTTTAGCGCCTTTTTAATCCTACCTACCTTCCTACCTACCTACCTACCTTGTCTACTAGAAAAGGGAAAGGCGCTAAAGTGAAAGTAAAAACGAGACCCGTCCACAAAAAAGGTCGCCATACGTGAATGCTCCCGTGAGGATGGCCATGATCTCGTTCCTGGACCCCGCGAGAACCGGCGCACTAGGAGGCTCCGCGCCGACGAGTGCCCCCCCGAGCCAAAATAACTGCTCCCAAGAGAGTCGAACTCTTGATCTCACGATTTGCGCTTAACAGTCGTGCGCCTTAACCAGCTGGGCCAGGGAGCAGATGAGACGCAATGATACTATTGCCATTGTTACGACCTTCTGGATGGAGCACAGAATGCTCAAGCATTGCTTCGCCCACTCGTTGTAATTTTGTTTGCTGGGATATTTTCACAAGAAGGTGTATCCATCTGTGAACTCAGCAGTGATTTGGACTCGGAGAATGGTATAGCAAGTGAACTCCCGACCACCACACCGTGTTGCGAATATTTTTGTAGTTTAATATAATAGTCGCTATCAAGGAATGAGGCGCCCATTTGACTCATTTTCAGCGAAAAAACACCTTTATTTTCTGGTCCAGCGATCAGCCAATCATATTTTGTTAAGCTTGCGCCGATCGTCTGGATTCTGAACTTGCGGGATTGCCTTTTTGGGCTTGATATTTCTGATCCGCTGAAAAGAAGTCCGTGACTGACCGTGACCCACCACGACGACAACTACCAACCAACAGCTGCCCTGCGCAAAATTCCGGCATCTTTGCTGCTGACACCAACGATCTCCGCAGTTTCCTCTAGCGCGAAAGGTTTGAAGGCTGGGCTTCTTTGTAGTTTGCAAAGAGGCCGAGGACGTCATAATTCCCGCACAATCTTGTTTTCATAGATGCAATGACGACTGCAAGCGTTTCTTATGACACCGATCCCAACACTGCCAAAACTCGCAGCCCAGTGAAATGGGATATCCGTGGCGTGCAGAACAACTGGAATTGGAGAGTTGAGCATGTCGATGATTCCATAGACGACGCCGTCGAGTATCAGACACGGTTTCCTGCGGAGGACCTGGCTCTGGTCCATCGCGGCGCGGATGAATCTGCGCCGCTGCTGGCGACCATCCGAACCCTAGAGTTCCGCTGGTCGACCATCACGTTCCCCGAAGGCAACCCTCCACGCGACGCGGTGTCGATGAAAAATGCCGGAGGGCAGAGTTTCTACAGCAAATGGCCCGTCACGGTGCGGGCACTGGGGGACCGCCGGCTGTTCTGGGAGTACGAGCATCCAGTACAGGGAGACAACAGCATACTCTTGCTGGATGCAGAGACGGGCGAGGAGCTGGGGAGTGCGAATGACAACTACCTCATGTTAACCAAGGAACTGTCCCAGGAAGCGATGGATGAGCTCGTTATTACAGGAACGGCGGTGCAGGTCATGCTGGCGCATCTCATGTCCAGCGACATGACTATCGGGCCAACAGGAGCGAAGCTGTGGAAATACCAGGCCCCAGATTGGTACAACCTTGAGGAAAGCGAGGACGGGGACGAAGGGAGATGACGAGGCTCACCAGGATGAACGACAAAAAAGGGACTCGGCTCGGTTTCAGTCCATTGTACAAGAGGGAATACATTTATTTGAATACAATAAATGAGATGAGGTTGCACTTAGTTTGGACTCACAAATATCACATTTGCTCACAGCGAAAAAGTATCAAAGAAACGAGGGGCCAGAGTGGTATTTTCCCGCCTGTGTCGACGACAGTCACTCAAGTTACAATGACTTTGCACATTCCTTTGAATACAAACAAGCTATCGGTACTTCTGCGTTTGCGTTTGCGCAACCCTAATTTACTGATTGTAGTTGTCGAGCGGCGCCTGGAGCCCAAGTGAGGAAGAAAAAATGTTATGAAAGTGAATTCACCCACCTCGTGTTCAATGACCTTCCAAATCTCGTCGATCTTGGCCTTGGCCGCCTCGCCCACGGAGCCATGCTTGAGCCATGCCAGCGTCTCCGAGATCTGGGAGAGCTTGCTCGCACCGAAGATAACTGCATCGCCGTACTTGCCATCGACCGCGGAGTCGAAGGCCACCCAACGATAGGCCAGCTCCGCCCTGCTACACCCGGCGTCCTTTGCCGCCTCCTCCCACAGATCGAGGGCCGTGTGGTAGGATGGCTTATTGTATAGACCACCATATAAACTATGCATCGGGTGGCCCGTGGCCCAGCGGCCGGCGTCTGCGGTGGCGTCGCGAAGCTGCTGGGGGATTTCGTAAGGAGGCCGCCAGCCATAGGGCTGTACACGTAGAACGCGATGTCGAGTTTGCGAAGCGTGGGGATGAGCTCAGTCTCCTGCTTGCGCGCCACCGCGCTGTAGTTGCCCTGGTAGACCTTGGGCAGCGGGTATCCCTTCTCCTTGCAAATGTCGTGAACTCGCTGCACGTCTGCGGCTTTGAAGTTGCTCAAGCCGAAGCGCTTGAAGTAGCCCGCCGTGTACGCATCGTTGATGCCCTTGAGCTGGTCCTCAAGCTCTATTGAGGCGTCCGGCGCGTGGATGTAGAACACATCGACCTGCACATCAGTTATCGCAATCGGGACTGGTGTATTCGTATTTAAGCTCCTTTCACTTACACTAGTGCCGAGGCGCTCGACAGACTCCTTGGCGTGCTGCAAGATGGTCGCGCCGTTGCAAGTGCCGGGGCTGAAACCACCAGGCGTCTTGGTGTCGATAATGAACCGCTTTCTCGCTCCAGTCTTGCCCATCCAGACCTATTACAAACACGAGCGTAAATTGTTTATTGCAGCGCGCTTTTTGTCGCACCTCCGAGTCGTTGTAGAGCCGCGCCGTGTCTATTGTATCGCGCCATAGCGTGCAAGAGGTACTAGGAAATTATATGATGCGCAATTCGAGGCTCCAGACAAGAGAGATGGCGACGATTGATTGACCATCGGATCGACGATTGGTTCCGCATTCCCGATTGAGACGAAGCCGGTTAAACGTTGTCCCAGCATTGGATACAAGCCCGATATTCACTCAACGTTCAACGCCACATTTTTCTTGAAGAGGATTGCTTCAAACAAGGGAGGAGGAGGACGAGGGCAGCCTGCGCGGTTACAAGGCCGGCACCGAGCACAGCCACATAGCATCTCCCTCTCAGCCAGCCCCATCCATGACACTGTTTTCACCAAGGCTCAATTTGATACCCAATGGAACCCTTGCATTTCGGTGCTAAACAACACGTATCTTTTCATCACCTTGGGAAATCCTCTCCACCGCTGTGGTGACCAGTGACACGCCATCGAATTCGACCAGTGAGGGTTCGGTGAGGAAGGCGAACTTGAGAGACATAGCTGAAAATATCTGCAACATCCACAAGCAAGGCGCATGTACAACAAACTGGTCTCACTGCCTCTGTCGATCCCATCTTTGGAAACACCCTGCCGCCCTGATTTTGGCATGGACCATACGCTCTGGACAGTAACTTTGATACAGTCGTTTTCGTTTTCCCTCCCCGAATTTCGATGGTTGCGCAAGTCTTCAAAGCCAGGACTAGTGATACCTGGACACTCCGAGACCACCGCCATTTGCGTTCACACGCGTGCTTTAGTCTCCCATTTCAACTCAACTGCATTGTGATGCTTCATCAAGCTCTTCTATTATACATATGAGGGTGCATGCACGCATTTCGCTTTGACCTTGGACATGGTACGGACATCCGTACCTATTCTCACGAATCGTTCTGGTATTTGAAGTCGACAGCGACTTTCCAGGTTTCCCGCAACGCCTCGGCCAATTAAGCGTACCATCGACTCGTCCCTCCAAGAGCCGATAATAAAAGCTGGAGGGTTAGTCACAACTAATTTTCTCCCTCCTGTTCTTACTGCATCCCACAGCCAAAACGGCTTGATTTATCACTGACTCTGAGTGAGTACACCCGCACTTCTACTCTGACTGAATAAACTTCCGACTACCTTAGCCTTTCCCCACCATGGCTTCCGCATTGATTGAATCCGTCTTTCTTTCTACGAGCATTTCAGCCTCAGTCTTCATCTCCAACGGGCAGGCCGAGACGACGGCCATACCCATAACACTATCCTTCACAAGTCCCGTACCATATACGGCCACGGTATCTGAAACTGCAACTGCAACTGCAACTGCAACTTCCAAGTCAGTCGATGGCCTGCCCAAACTTGACACATCCTGACAATTGTCTAGATCATCGTTTCCTATTCTCCCAGTTGCCGCGGCGGGCAGCGGCGGCCTTGCACTCGTCATTGTGGCGGTTGCCCTATATTTGGTTTGCCAGCGACGTCGCCGAAGAAGCACCCTCCATAGCGGCAAGCCATCAAAAACCCGACCAGATCTCGACGCGGAGTTACCGCGGGGTGAAATCGCAGGGAGTCGCACATTCAGCCGGCTCACCTATTCTGCTCCGTATACCGTCCCTCATTCGTCGAGAACTTTGTCGACAGCTGCGCCGAGTACGGTATCCATTGGACAGCAGTATCGCACCACTGTTCGTACCCCAGGAAGACGATGATCATGCCCGCATCTCCGTGCATACGTGGGATATTCCTGAGCATTTCCTGTGATGGATGGCGATCCGCTTCACTTAACTTATTTACCTCCAAATCACCAATTGTATCTGTATTTCTTGTCAAAATGTATGCGCATCTCGCTATTCCACCAAGCATGTCTTTGAAGAGCCCCACAGATATGAATCCTCAAACTGCGATGCTTTCTCAGACAACTTCATACATCAGCTGAGCTATATTTATCGGATGATGCATCCAGATTCTTTTGGATGATGCGATGATAGTTTCTATACGCGGCCACAGCCATCTTCGACGTGCAATGAACTTTCCACCCTTGCGTTCACACTCACCAAACTGCAAAGATGGGCCATGCTTCCTCCATATGGAGACGGGATCGTCGCTCCCGAGTACATATGCGTCCGCCAGGCAGGCGACGATGGACTATTCTTTAAATTATCGTCTCCGCCAGCCAGGATTGCTGAGCTCCATTCATCTCCCTAGCTCCTACCCTAGCTGGTTACAGGCCTTTCCACAGTACAATGGCAGAGTGAGTCGCGAGATCCTCGTTCCGAGTCATGGTTGACTCAAATGCCAGAGCAACCATCTACATTCTTTTTTTATTGCTCTCAATACTCGTCCAACCGTCGGCCTGCCTCCCCTCTGCCGTAGAACCCAGTGGTGCGGAGAGCCTCGCAGCCCTAGACTCCATTTTCTCCGGAGGTGGTGGCGCTACTGTCCCCGAGCTCGTCTTGACTGGCACAC